AAAAATCAGCGATCAGGACCTACATCACTCTGTGACAACAGAGACCATTTTGTAGGTCAAAGAAGCTGAAATGTTTTAAAATAGCTAAAATCTGAAATGTGTTATGAGCAAAGAACTACAGGATTTTACATAGAAACTCCCATGTTTCTACATCCCAATGTTCTTATTTTTACCTTCTTGATGAGAAATGACATTAGTAGGTCCATGACCTTTGAGTGTTCACAGGAGAGTAAAAATCAATTACCTGATAGAAATAGAGTCCATTTTATCAAAGCAAGTTTCTGAAGTTACCCTTTTAGTAATTTGTAAAAGAAAGCTAGCCACATTTATTAGTCAGAATCTCAACTCTCTATTTTCCTCCTCTTGTACTAGCTATAAATTTGGTTGCACTGCAACCAGAAGGGACCCGTTGGATGTAGCTAAAATAAGAATAAGTGCCAACTGAGATCATATTCGCTTCACCTCCGACAGGAATCTAATGCCCCTCCCTAGCTCTTGATAGTGATTAAAGTGCTCCCTTCATGTTAGATGCTCACATGTGACAGAGACAGCAGAACCATTTGTAATTTCCTTGACTCATAAAATCATACCCCCAAAGAGTAAGAGTGAACACATTAATTCAGAGTACTTTTCGATTTGATTTTTATAACATGTATGTCCTCTAGCAAATGTAGGTGTACCATTCCCATATTCTTTATATCTTTCAATCCACATCCTGGCTCTATGTCTGAAGGTTTTTGCTACCCTTCGCCCCATTCATGAAGCAGGCTAGAAGTAGGAAGTGCTCCCCCTGCAGCCCTGGAACTATGATCCTGGGGAAACAGCTCCCTCAACCTCCAGAAGGGATAAATATTCTTACTGTGTTTTGCATCACTGCTAGAGTTTTGTCACATGACTAAGCTCAGTCCCTCACTGTGGTAGCTGGCTTAATGGCATGTCCTAGATTGGCAGCCTTGCCTTCCCTACACCTCCTCCTTACCTTCCTGCTGGTAATATCTGCACTTCCTAAACTGACCACTGCACTTGAATCCTTGTCACAGGGTCTGCTTCTGGGGGATGCAAATTAAGATATGCAACATATAACTAAATTTGAGTGCTGGACACCATGACTAGGTTTAAGTGAAATAAATTTATATTCAGTGTTAAGAAGGGACTTCCTTCCTTCTTTCCTAATGTTTTCACACGGAAGGACTTCTATATAAATGCCCAGTTTCCTTCTTGTAGAGGTGACATCCATTGGTTCATGTTTCGTGATTGGGGTGGGGGGAACTACCAAAAAGCAGTAAAGACTAGAGATTCATCTTTTCTTCTTTCTACTCTAGACCAGTAAGAAATGATAAATCTGGAGAAGTACGTCTGCCCTGTAGACCACACTTTCCCTTAGTTGGATTGCTCAGGTATTAAAGGTGGGCTACAGAGTATTAGAAATCCTTTTTGGTTGTATATCTGAATTTACATTCTTCAGCTGGCTTGGCGAATATTAAAGCTAGTGTTTGCAAGCTATTTGTTCATATCGTCTTTTTCTTAGCTGATTCTGAACTTGCCAATAGTCTGTTTGCCCAGTGTGAATACATCTGTACAGCTTTGTGACTCTATAACATCACTGAAATTAAACTATTACTTTGTGATTTGTTTTCCACTGCATATAAAAAATCATTTCTTTGAAAGTTCTCATTTTCTTCACAATTATTTTAACCTGTGGTGGAAAATTAAGTGTGAGTACACTGGAGATTAGTAAAATTTAAAACAATAAAACTCTTCAGTCATAAATAGGATATACTAATTTAGATCCTTATTTGTTCAGTCCTCTTTTCCCAAAGCTTTAAATATATCTGAACACATCTTCCCATCTGCAGGCCAGTTTAGTAGAGCTGCCATCTCCTACCTTCTCTTGGCTCCTCTATGTACCCACCTGCTCTTCTGGCTGTGGGCTGCTTCCACCCACTCTCTGCCATCTCAGCAAATTTGGACAACTCACTCTTTCTGTAGTCTCTCCAGCCTTTCGGGTGAGGGGATGTGGCATGATGCTATGAGACACAGGCTAAGACCTTGGTTGTCTCTGGTTTTGAGAGTGTTCTCTTACTGTCCAACAGATGGCAACTTTCTATCCTCCTCAGCAAAATCATAATCGTCTCACCTGACAGAAATTTTTCCCTCCAGTAGCTGTGAAGCCAGTGCAGATCATCTTCTCTGTTATCCCTCCTGAGTGAGCAAAATAGTAAGTGTGTTCGCACATCTCTCTTTCTAACATGGACTGTTGTAAGCGATTTGCCAGGCCACTGTCTAATTAAGAAATAGATTCAGAAAGAGAGCTTAATAATGATGGCAAGATGTTAAAAAATATATTTAAGTTCAAACTTGCTCTGCACCAACATAATTGCAATCACTCAGTTTTGCCTGAACAGATTTAGAATATTGAATCAAAAAATATAAGTGTCTTATGCAGTATCTTCATTTCCAGATGTGACATCTTTGTAAAAGAAATACATTGGCAGGAGAACAAGTCCAGAAACACTTTTTTCCTAGCTTATTTCTGATTTAAATTTTAGTGTTTTCGATTGCTACATAAGAACTCAGAAAAAAATTCAACGAGATATGAATTGGTGTTATACATGATTTATATGAGTATATATTTATACATATAAACATATTACATAAAATATATTTTAAATATGCACTATCAATGTTTTTATAATTTCTTAATATAAACCAAAATCATATTCCACTTCTTCCTCTATTGTCACTGAGACCTAAACTCAACTCCAATTTAAAATGACAAACGATGAACACTAAAGAATTTTTTCTCATAATTGACTCTCAACCAGGCCTGCATTAACATGTATTCTATATAACTTATTCTATCATCTTAGATTCATGACTAAAATAATTAAGTTTAGTATTTTATAGCCTTATACATTTTTGGACAAAATAAAAATTACCTTACGCTTATATAAGACCTTGATATTTATAAAGCCCTTCACTCCGACCTTGTAACACTCACAACAACGTTGTGAGATGGGCTATCACTGATCTCACATACGAAAAAGCCAGAGCTCTGAGAATTTGATCTCCTATGGGACTGAATTATGACTCCAGCCTCTTAAGGTCTGACTCTAAATCTTGTGCTCTCTTTAATGTATTCATCTAATACATAAGTAATGTATTTAAATTCTTCTTTTCAGGGACCATCTATATTGGTGTGGCTTATCATGTCTCAAAATCAAGAATTTATTTTCTCTGAGACTGAAAGAATAGATTCATCTATTATGAGACTATAACCACCTCTCAGTTGTCTGGTGATCATGGAGTTGGTGGAGATCAAAGATGTTAGAGAAAGGGCACATTTATTCAAGGGCTTTGAAGCCAGCCAGTCAATAAATATTTACTGAATATTTCTTCCACAACTAGGTACACTTCTGGCCTTGGGGAAAGAATGGTGAATTAGAGTTCTGTCTCCAAGTGGTTCCTACTCTAAAGGATGAGATGTAGAAAATGGTGACATAAAATAACATCAAGAACATTTATGTGCAATGAGACGAGAAAAGTGGGTAAGGCAGAAAGTGATGGAAAGACAATCTTGCTGAAGCAAAGTGGTCTGAGAAGGGGAGTGTCATTTGAGTTGAGAAGGGAATGATGAGGAGGCAGCTGTTGAGACTAGAGTAAGAATATTCCAAGTGGAAGAAAAAAAAGGATACAGAACTTCAGAACGCAGAACAATTTTGGTGTTTAAAAGAAAGAAAGAAGACCAGGGATAAAAAAATGGAAATGAAGTTGGAGAGTTAAGTGGAGGCCAAATCAGCTAGCGCCCAACCCAGGCTAGGAGTTCAGATTTTATTCTAAATAAACTAAAAAGCCATTCAGCCATTTAAGGGTTATCAGTTGAGCCATGGTTAATTGTATATCCTAGTTCTGATACTTAGCAGTCATAGGATATTGGTAAGTTACTTAAATCTTGGGGCCATAACTTCATTTGCAAAACAGGGAGGATAAAATCTCCTCTTATGGTGGTTGCAAAGATTTTAAGAAAATAGAATTTGGCTGCAGGTCATACAGTAAGATGTGAATGTGAAAACTACAGAAAGATAAATCCCTTCTCTTTTAAGCTCACAGGTTACAAATAAATGACATAGAAACAGAAAGAGAATGTAAAAGAAAATTATACAGTGAAAAGAAGCAAAACATGAACATTAACCCATTCAGACCTTTCACTATTTTACTATCGCTTTAAGAATGCTACAATCCAGCCCAGAGGTCAGCAAACCACAGCCCGCAGGCCAGTTCTCTGAAAGCACATCCCAGCCCCACCCCCAATCCCTGGGCCTATTTAGTACAATCCAGGAACTAATAATAGTTTGTACCTTTTTAAATGGTTGAAAAAAATCTGTCAAGATTTTGTGACACATTAATATTATATGAAATTTAAATTTCATGAATGAAGTTCTATTGGAACACAGCCACATCCGTTCTGTTACATATTGTCTATGGCTGCTTTGTGCTATAATGGCAGAATTGAATAGTTATGACAGAGACCATATGGCCTACAAAGCCTAAAAAACTTATTACCTGGCCCTTTACCAATCTAGCCTACCTGTAATTGGTTACTCTAAAGGAAAAACATAAAACAGATCATTCTCTAATTTCATCACCTCTTACAACTAAATAAAACATGGCTTCTATCTTTCAGAAGGAAGAAAGGCTAAAGTAGCTACTGCCTGATACTATTGCCATGACAAATTTTTAAAATCAACAACTTGCAGTATTGTTTATGCAAACATAAACTGTTTACCTTCACTTACGCTTCCCCATCCAGTCACAGCACAGATCTCAGAGGGAAACAGAGGCTCCGTGCTGTGTGGGAGACACATCGGCCTCACCGCAGAGCTGAATGCCAGAAGAGAGCTCAGTTGCACTAGGGCGATGTACAAGTCAAAGCTCAGTCTATCAAAGTCTTCGTGCATGATGATGTGTTTTGCCCTTCTCACCTGTACCAGGTGAGGATGACAAGATTAAGACAATGAGTCAAACTACTTCTTTACATCACGATAAAATAAATCTGAAATCTTTACAGATTTCAATGAAGATGACTTAATTTGAAATCAGTAATCTCTGTTTATAATTTGCAGGAGGCCATGAACCACTTTCTGAGGACTTCAGTCCTGGAGGAATCAGACTATGTGGACCTGAATTCGTACTTTCTGACCAACTTGATCTAATTTTTAGATTAAAGTGTGATCTCAAATGGTATCTTTAAATGTTGGTCTAAATTACAAATATAAAGGAGCACTAAGAGTGGGATATCTAATTATATAGTTTAGCTAAAGGAATTCCCTGGCATGTGACAATAGAGTAGAGGCAAAATAACCTTTAAAAACATTTCTCACCTGATCGGTTGATTCTTTCAGAGTTCTGTCATGGTCCCCAGCAACAACACTCCAGAAGAGGGGATTATTTTTCCTAAAGAAAGAACAACAACAAATGTATGACATGAAATGACATTTTTCACTATTTGGCTAATTCTATTTGGCCCTACCAACATACACTGTTCAGTTCAGCCAGGTGTCACTCAGTTCCCTGTCTGGTGTCTTTCTGTGATCTCTCACCAGGGAAAGATACTCATCTACCTGAAGAAGAGCTCTTACTTCTGTATCTTGCCCCCTTCTTTTGGGTATAAAATGACTTTGGAGCCCTTACCAAATATCACCAAAGGCTATTTTTTTAGTTGAGAAGCAAAAAGAAATATTAGAGCTTATTTTAATCTCACAGTGATATTGAGAACACATAAAACAAAAACTACATTCAGAATGAGGTAGTTTCTGGTCTATGTTTTACTGTTAAAAGTATCCAAATATTATCTTACAGGAATGTATCTCAAATCGGCGTCTTTTATTAAATCACGAGTATTGATAGAACCGAGGTTAAAAAGACATTATCAGTTCAAAAAATAGGTGAAACTCACCTATGGTGTTAGAAATCAGGACACTGGCTACTTTTAATGGGGTGATGATTGGAAGAGGCATAAGAAGGGCCTGCTACCTAGCGTATTTGTAATATTCAGTTTCTTAATCTGGGGTGCTGGTTACAGGAGTACTAACTTTGTGACAATTCCTCAAACTATAAGTCTAACATTTGCACACTTTTGATATACTTTAAAAAGATGATACAAAAACGTAAATCAACAACCATTTATTTAAGATCTCCAGCGAAAAAATATCTGAGGAAAAAGTACCTAATTGCCACAATTATTCTGTCACTTTGGCTTAGAGATTCTTCCATTTTTCAAAAGTGTTTCTTTGGGAAAAGTAAAGTTATTGAAATTATTTTTCGACACATCTTATTCAAAGGAGTTTTTTAATACATGGAGGCATCTTCTCTTAAGTCATAACCATGCTCATTTCAATTCCTTGCATGATGAGTCTGGCTTATTCATGTGTTTCAGTATGCCTTTATAAAGGGAGCTAACTCAGGTAAAGTGCTTGGCAAGTACCTTGCAGATGGTAATGACTCCATAATGGTAGCCATTATCATTGTTATTATCTGCCATGCACTCTAATGGAAGGATTAAACTTTATTTTCAAAGTCACCCTCCAAATTATTACTTGGCAGTAAAAAAAAAACCTTATTTCTTAAAGTCACTCTACTTCTTTATTTAGAGGACGTGTGCACAATACAGTGAAATAATAAAAATTATAGTAGAGTTGATAATGTAGACTATGATTTCTAGTGAAGTTTTATGTGCGGTCATCAAATATCCTTTAATTTGGTAGAGAACACTGCGTGAAAAGCATATGACAGAGCAACACATATTTTATGAAGCAACGAAGTCTGAGATTTTTCTAATAATGAGATAATAGCTCAAGGTTTCAATTGACGAATTCTTCCATGCTTTATTCCCACTTGCCCATAATCAAATTTCACTTGTTATATTTTGAGTCTTATCCCTAATCCAACAATGGAACATGTGTCACTGCTATGAGAGGAGAAATTGTCACTACCAATTTACACAAAGAAAGTGGCTCAGATTGACAAAAACTGCTTATTTAGTTTGAGACAGAAAGATTCTGATGTATAATTACAAAGTGAGTTTAGTCTCCTAAAGTAAGTTAAAAATTCTACATGAATACAAATATCAATGTGGAGTTAGTGAGAGGAGAACACCAGCTTTTCCTGAAGTGTGAAACAACATTGCCGGGGAATTTACTAGAAATACAAATTCTCTTTAACAATATTCTTAAAGAGTTGGAAACCTTCCAGGTGATCCTAGTGTACACTAACGTTTGAGAACTAATACAAAGGGTAACAAGAGCCAGGGAAGATATATGGGAGGTGGTACAATGTTGCAGTCAGTTGTCCTTATTGTCTTTGGAACTCTACCCAACAACGTCAGCCAGCCTGGCCCCTGGTGACTTTCAGCAAAAATGACATCTATTTCAGCTCCAGGATTTTGCATTATCTCTCCAAATGACTCATTCCACATGACGAACATCCCTTTTCAATGGATTTGTATGCTCAGAAGTCCCCTTCAGAAAACCTCTTCAGTGGGCAGGGGAGGGCGGGGTAGGGGAGTGGGGGGAGCGGGGGAGTCCTGGATGTCCTATAGGGTTGACGAAGATGAGACAAGGACAAACAAGCGCCTGAAGGGATCAGCTGAAGAGTTTCCACAAAGGCAGGAATGAATGGAACATACTACTTTTGTTGTATCAGCATATCAAAACCTGTGCTGTTAAAATCCATACACTTCAAGGAATAGCTTCAAAAAAGACACTCCTCTGGTTAATAAGTTGGGCAAGTATGAAAAGTTGAAGAAAAAATAAAGCACATGGACATTTTTCATACAGTATAAATATAAGGCACAATGTTATGTGCAAGTTATAAAATAATATGTGATATATACAAATACTATAAAATATGTGCACATGTGCATAAATATTAATAGAAAATCAGGTAACATTCTTGATATCGATTACTTAATATAGAGGAAGAGTGGATTAGTGAAATGAAGGGATAGTTTAGATTTTACTTGATAACTTTACCTGTCTTTTTCCAAAGCATTAGTACTATAACAAATTTCTAAAACAAAAATCAAGAATAGTTGCTGATGAAATTGCATATAAATTCTTCTTGTGGTTAACTTAAATGGTTCACTTGAAAATACTCTGCGTTTATTAAATTTAACTGACTCATCAAGTTGAACAGTTGAACAATAGTTTTGTGAAGAATGGTTTTGCTGTGGTCTATATCTTGCTGTAAGGTGTCATGGTCCACCACATAAATTCAAGAACAGACTATGCTACCTGACAACTGAGTCTACCAAAGTTTCTTATGTCCCTCTGGCATCAATACTAATATTTATCTTTCCCAATACATTAATTTTCATTAATTAATTAGCTACTATGGAGGTTTCTTTTCCACAGGACATAACAATGCACTTTGATAGACTTCTTGTAAAATGGGCTCCTCTCAAAAGGGATGGGGAGGCCTGGAATTAACATTGTGGTACTGGATTGAATTGGAAACATCTTCATGAACTCATGTTTAGCTCATGTTTACATAAATGGGTTAGTATGCTTTCTTATATTTTCTAGCTCTGTCAGCTGAGAGGGCCTAGAAGTTTACTAGAATAAAGCCCTAGTAGCAACCAGTACACGTAGAACTCAGATCTTGATTTCTCATACCATTCTCCAATAAGATAAATCAGTGTTAACTGGGGGCATCGCTGATTCTAGGACTGAGCAAGGAATAGATGAGCCTGGGGCATCTTATAGTGTCACAAAATTATAGGGGTGTGTCAAAAAGACTAGAAGCCACCTTGAAAAACCTTACAATGGTCAAAGCTAGAACAATTTGAACAATAAAGTATGTAATATTAGAGAATAAATATTCCAGAATCCAATACCAATATAAAAAAATGATTTAACAAGTAAATAAATGGAGAAGAGACAAATCTCCCATGCAGAAGAATTTCAAATAATTTATATAGATACTCCCTGCTCAGGAAGGTAAAGTTTCATGCCCAACCCCTTGAGTGTGGGCTACTCTTAGTGACTTGCTTCCAAAGAGTAAGTGTGAAAAGGGGAAAACATAACATTACAGTAGAGACACCTGGCAAACACTACCTTGGCCAGTGATCAAGATTAACTTCATCAGTGATAAATTATGTTGATAGCATGTACCTTAATATTATAAGAATGGCATGTTGCTTCTGCAGTCTTTGTCCTCCAAATCCATAATCCCAGTATAACCATGAAGAAAATATCAGATGAAATCAAACTGAGGGACATTCTACAAAATACCAGATGCATACTCCTCAAAATTGTCAAGGTCATCAAAAACAAGGAAAGTCTGTGAAACCTACAGCCAAGAGGAGCCTAAGGAGGCAAGACAACTAAATGTAATGTGATATCCTGAAAGGCAGCAACTACAAAGACCTTGAGACAAAAACAAGCTCAGCATGTTTGAGGAGCAGGACTGGCCCACTTTGAGTGAGCAGAGGAAGAGTCAAGGTGGATCAGAGAGACTGGGAGTAGTTCTTGACTTTGACTGTTCATTGGATTATCTGGGGAGTATTTACAAATACGGTGTCCAGAACTTAACCTCAAATGATCTGGACTGAAAATGAATTAATTACAGTTATACACATCCACACAACTTGATCTATATAACATGTTATGAGGACAAAAGTAAGTCAGAAGAATATAAACTACAATTCTGTTATGTTAATATCAAAACCAAACAACATACTGGTTTTAAGAACTTCGAGATGTTAAAACAAACAAAAAAAAATTATAAAAAGAAAAGAAATTATGAATAGAAAATTTAGCATAGTGTTTACTTCTTGGGAGGGGCCCCAAGGGTTTTTAAAAGGTAAATATAAAGATCCTTCCATAACTGGGTGGTAGGGACACAAATATTACATTACATATATATTATTTGCATTTTTTCATATCATGGCATAGTTCACAATTAAAAAACACTGAAAAAGTCAGCCAAAATTTTAGTTCACTAGCAGTCCAGTGATCAAGGTGGTGTACCATCGATTGTGCTCTCCACTGTTATGAATCCTATTTTAAGAGGAACAATACTAAACCAAACCAAGGAAAGTACATCGTATGGTGAGGCATCTGGAATTACTGAATAACAATAGAACAATGAGTATCTACCTTAAAGATTAAATTGACAGGCAATGTGAGAGAAGTCTTCAATAATAGGAAATACTGTTATTTGAAAGAAGAAACAGACTTAGTTCTTTTCTGGAACTATGATTAATTTAGACCAATAAGTTTCTGCTACAGAGAAGCAGACTAAGGCTCAAAATATTAATCAGAGATCTTCATAAATTGGAGGAACAATTTCAAAATTTGATTAACTTTTTCTTTGCTGACATTGTTTAAATAGAAGCTACATGGCTATGTAGAAGAAATACTGAAAGATATTAATCTGGATGATTTTAGTAATTAGACAGTTATATTTGTGTCCTAGGTATGGTCTATAAATACCTTAGTAAAATATCTTCAGTTTAACTCACAATTGCACACAATGGGCTGCAGTCAGGATCCAGTCTGGGCTGATGATGGCACCTCCACACTGGTAGTTGCCTAGAAACCTCAAACCCACCTGTCATGGCCAACAGTAGGGGCAGGCTTCTCCCCTTCCCACAATTCTTCTGGAAAGCCACTGGGGGCTAAATGGAGGGATGCCACAGATACCTACGGCAGAGATGAAACTAATGACCTGTACAACTGAAATAATTAAGAACATACTTTTCCTCCAATGGCTTGCTGTGGTGAACAATCATAATGAGCTTTATAAAAATACAGACTCCCAACCACCACCACTAAGGAATCTGATTTTAAAAGCTGTGATCTACATCTTGCCTACATGACTCTGCTAAGCAACTGTATTAGAATTTACATTATATGGAACTTATATTCTAGTAGGAAAATTTTGTTGGCAGAGCATATAAGATTCTTCATTATATGTCCTTGTTTTCTTTCTTTCTCACTGTATAAACTATTAAAAATCGTCAAACATGCCAAATTTGCTCAGACATCTAAATGCTGTTCTCTTGTCTGGGATACTGCTAAAGCTCAGCTCAGGTGCTATCTTCTCCATGAAGCCTTCTCTGTCTCCCCTGTAAGAGGTAGATATTTTCACCTCTTACAGCTCCTTGTACAACTTTCTATATTACAGCCCCAAAACCAGAACATATTCAGTACATGCATACAGAGCAATGAAGGATCGTGGTATTTAACTGGATACTTCAGATCATAAATAAGTTAAAAGTTAACAGTGTGTATTACAAAACAAAAACAAAAAACCTTTCCCCCGCCCTTTTCCCCCAAATGCATAATCATATTAAATACAGAGTCTAGGAAGATATTTTAAATATTGTTTGCACAAGAATAGATGAGGACAAAGGATCGTCCTCTGTACCCCTTTCTTCCTATTATTTCTTCTTCCATCTATGAGTTTATATGCAAACCCAAACAAGATTGTAGACGTTTCATGGTCCTAGATACAAAACTTATTCTTTTTCATTGTGGAGTTATATCAACGTAAGATGAGGCTTTCCAAAACAGACATCTAGTCAAAGAAGAAAGGAAACAAAACAGACGACATGGTCATCAACTCACCATAGGGAATAGTTTTTTCAGAAGATACAGGATGGTTTTGGGGAGGTGATGTTGATCCAATTTTGTTTAAAAAGTCTATAGATATAAAAACAAATTTTTTCATTGAAAATAATTTAGAGTAGCCTATACTAGCTGACCCTACTTGCTTACCCTGGGCAGTCATAAAACCACTTTTATGTTAATCTCACTAACACTACCTTTCAAATGCTAAATGCCAGATCCCATGGAAATGATCTGTTACATATCTCTTAATATCCCTGCTGTATCTAAGCTCTTTAAGCATCTCTTCCCTCCTTGGCTTCATGATATTATTCTCTTGGTGTTCTTGATATATCTAAAGATTTCTCGTCTCAGTCTCAGTCTTCTTTTCAGGATCCTATTCTCCAGCCTGAAAGATGTTCCATAAGGTACTGTTTATGATCCTATTTTTATTCATTACATATATATGACTTCCAAATCTGTCTCCTCAATCTAAATCTCTTTCCTGAATTCTAGGATCTAGGATTGCTAGATTTCTCTGTCTAGATCTCCCACAAGCTCATAAAAAAATCCACGTCTCAAATGGTACCAATCAATTTTAACAATCAATATGGTCTTGTTGTATTTCTCTGTATCAGTTAGTGTCTCTACCATTCATCTAGCCACTCAAGCTAGAATCCTGAAAATCACGCTAGAATTTTTCTCCTTCATATACCCGCTCCCCACAACCTATCTAATCAAGCAATACACCTAGAATGAATTCTTGCAATGACTTCCTCATTACTCTCCTTACCTGTAAATTCACCCCTAATCATCATACCCATTTCACACATTACTACCAAGGTTGAATTCTGGTTCCAGAATTCTCCATCAGCTATGTATGCACCTTTGGGAAAGTTGTCTCTCTAAGCCTCTGTTCCCTCATCTTTAAAAAGGGGAGCCGTGTACAAGTCTCTTAGGTTTTTAAGGAGGAATGTGATAATGCATGTGAAATGCTTAGTCTATACCTGGTACAGAGCAAGTAATCAATAAATGCTAGCTAGCTATCTTATTCTGATACTTAAAATTTAATGCCCTACGTCCATCATCATCTAACTCTTGCCAATTCTATAATTTCCCCCCAAAAGTCAAACTATGTCAAATTATTTGTAGATTTTTTGTACATCATCTATTCTCTTTCACATTAGGGTCCTTGTAATTGATATTTCTTTTGTCTGGGTAAAGGCTATTTTATCTTCTAGAATGCCTAGAAACCTATTGATTCTTCAAAACCTTCAATCATTCCACAACAGAGCCAATCAATCTCATTTCTGAATTATGTTCTCTAATCTGAATTATCTACTTTAACATAAAATACTCAGGATAGTTTTTGATCACCTAGTGGATGTAGTTTCTTGGCTTCACCTGAGGTGCTCGTTAAAAAACAGATTCCTGGGCCTCATCCCAGATCTATAGAATCAAAATCTTTGGGGTTAGGTACGGGAATCTGCATTTTTATTTTGCCACTGAGGTTCTTCAAGCACCCTAAATTTAGGTAAACATGGCTAAATTATATTCCCTAGAATTGTTTATATAAGTAAAAATCACTACTGCTGTTTATACCGACCTGAGGGCAAAAAAGTAAATCTAGCCTTGAAGCCTCGAAAGTTATTTTCATCATCACTTTTAAAATGAATCACCATCATGTTTCCGGGACTGAATATTGGAGTAGGGTTGAAGATTCCACAAAGCTTAGCTGTAAAAGTTTTAGAAAAGTTTACTTTATAGTTATAAAAAAAATGTTTAAAAATCAGAAAACAAAGGTAAAACATTATTCAATTATTTTCCAGCAACTTTAGTATGTAGGCACACCCTTTTATGTCATGTGGGAATTAAACACTAGTTTCAAGACAGTAATGCATTATAATTTTATCTGGCAGGGAAAAAACTCTATAGATAAGGTAAAGACATCCGATTTTTAGTATGCATAGAAATCTCAATTGATTGTTAATTTGTAGACAATGAAAAAAGGCAAGTTAAAGAAATCCCAAATCTGATATTCCTCCTTCCAAATAGAAAATGGTTACACTGTGACAACTGAAATCTGCTTTGCCTAACCACCTCTCCTCCTCCCAACACAAGTCATGTTCTGTTGGATGAGGGGATTGTGCTTCCACTCGCCTGTCCTAAATATCCAAATAAACATTCCAAACCTACCTATATTCCTGGTCCCCAACCCACACTAACGCCTAGCCTGGGGCAAATAGTAGGTGTTAAAGATGTGGTTGTATGGCTGGAAGGGATAAGTTTTTATATTTAGTAAATTGGTAGGTCCAAATTGAAAGCATATTTGAAGTTTTAGTTCAAAAAATTAACTTTTAAGACTCAAGCAGAAATTATAACTTTGGTTACCTTTGTTACTTTCCTTGGATGTAGATATATCAACAATGTAAGGGATTACTATAGAAAAGAAGGAGGTTTAAAATTTTACTTTAAATAACTGTCAAAAATGTACTCATTGTTACTGTTTTTCTTTTTCCCTGAGATTTCCTTTTCATCTTCCAAATATTCTGAAACATTCTTCAAATTTGGCATATTTCTAATGAAAACTTTACTGGTGAATCTATTGCTGGCTCATGAGTTTCCAGTGTAACAAATTCATATTCACACTCTACCTCTGTGTACCCAAGGAAGCCAGCCAATACCTCAATTACTCTGGTTAGTCTCATGCTTTCGGGATTACGTTTAAAGGACAGAATATTACCCACCTAACTCATGCTCTTCTTCAGGATCACTATAAATCACAGCAGCATCATAAATGCAGTTTTGGTTAAATTCAGTATTAAAGTCCTCAAATGCCAACTGTACAAATATAAAAACAACCAGAGAAGAGGTCAAGGAAGAGAAGTGATAAAGTTTAAAAGTTCCTCTCTATAAATTAAAAGGCTCTTAGTACTCCCCCTCATATTCCATCGATAGAAGTGCAAATAAATAATTATAGCCTCTTTGGAGGGAAATTTGGCAAGGACTATGAGGTTTAAATGCATAAACCCTTTGACCTAGGGTTCATGTAAGTTTACTTCTGGTAGTTATATTCATCTGCATGTGTCTAAAAACAGTGACAAAGGAATATACCAGCATTATTGGTATGGGCAAAGATTAGAAACTCACCAAATATCCATCAATAGGAAACTGGTTTAAGAAATTATGTAACATCCAATATAATTTTATATAGTTTTTAAAGAGCTCTGTGGACTCATCTAGAAAGATCTTTGAGATATTTTTAAGTAGAAAAAGCACTGCCAAATAATATAAATGTATACGTCTTCGTATATTCTCAGAATCTCTCTCTAGGGATGATCTAGAAACTTAGTGTTTGCCACCGGGAGGTAGAATGAGAGTCGGATGAGAAGGAGGCATATTTTTCCCTGTGTTCCCTTTAAACTGCTGATTCCTTTATCCTTTAGGAGTTAAAAAAAAAAAAAAAAAAAAAGGCAAATAGAAGCTCCTAGTCATGATGGGAATTTCACAGTTCAAATAAAATAAGTTCTATCTAACTAACATAGCTAAGTTCTCAATGAAGTAAAAAGCTTCCTTTGTTGCTTATCTTTATAACGTGTTTCTCTGGAGCATGAATGAACCAATGACAGCTTACATTCCTGGGATACAAATCAGGGTAACTGGCAGAGTGAATCGTCCCTTCTTCCACAAATTCAGTCACACTCCCACGACATGAACCTATGGAAGTATTTGGAAAATCCAAAGTGAGTGGCCAAAGGCATTCTCTCTTCCTCACCCTCATGTCAAAGAGAAAGAACAGGGATTTAATGTATCTGAAATACCTGCTTCTGAGTTCTTTTGTACAGCTCTAAAGGTAAACTCAAAGCCATTGCCACTATTTTCTGCATCAGAAACAAATGTAACTTTGGCCTTATTGGTCTCTGTCAGCAAATTGGAATAAGATTACTAAAAAAATGATGGAAACAAAATTATACATGTTTGTTTTTCTAATATTATCTTCCATGAACTCTAAACACAATCTCTAATCATTCCGCACTTTCTGCTTCTATGATTTTATATTCCATTCACTTTCTCAAACCCAATCTCCTGTGTCCAAATTCTACTCATCTTTCAGGGCCTAACTCAAAGTCCAGTTCTCCCATAATCCTTCCAAGATACTCAACAGAAATAAAAGTTACCTTTTCTGAATCACCACAGCACATTTCCTATTCTGTGTCATTTCCTACTTTGTGGTATACCTTTAGTTATCTCCTCAAACTGCAAATTCATTGGAGCACAGACTGCTTTTACTCTGTGTATATCCAGGACCTGATATGAGATCTGGTATATAACTGATTTTTAACAAATGACTGTTTGAATGAATAATTTCTGGGTAAATATCAGGCCTGAAGCATGAAATCATTTGGTCAATAAATATTACAACACTTAGCATGACATCTTGCCTATACCATCCTGTCAAATATTTGTGAAGGGAGATTTCTGCTAATCTTACTGGCCTTACAGAGACCTAGAGATTAATTTTACACCAGCTCTAGAGACTCTATCATGCTTAACACAATATTTCAATTAAATACATATATTAGTTATGCTTGTATATAGCTTCAATAAAAGAAATTTAATGACATGAAATGATCTATTGTGTCATGAGAAAAAAGAACATTATAATACAATGTGCAGTAAAGTTCAGTGTGTATAGTAAGTACATGTAAGTGAACATATAATAAAATGTTAACAGCATCTATCTCTACGTGCTCGAGTTATGGTTGTTTTACATTTCTTCCATTTGCTCATTTGTCTTTACCAGAGTTGCAAACGTGCACCCACTTTTGTGACAAAAATAAAAAAAAATAATGCACTGAAAAGAAGTTTTCTGACAATTGTGACATCACTTTTGTTCAATACTGTTATTAAACTTGGGAAAGGAATAGAGAAACCTCAGTCAATATGCTGGCCATTGGCTCCACTTTTACTGCACATACCCCCACCTCTTTCAGAAGGGCACACTATAGAAGATAAAATAATGGGTCTGTGGGCAGAAATTTAATTTCAGATCCTTTAGCATCTCTTTGGTCTCTTAGGAACTATAAAATGACTAATGAAAATAAATGTGACATACTTACTAACAAGTACTCCATTGCTTGATTGCAAAGATACACAGTCATCATCACATCCAACTTGATTTTCTATGTCTAAACTTGTAAATTTTATCAAGATTATTTTATTTTCTGGTACTATTATTTTCCAAATACATAAGCTAGGTAGGGGAAGGTAGAAAACATATAATTAATGGCAGAGTAAAGTGTGACAGATAAGATCTATTATCTAAGCTTTACCTCATAATTACCAAAGATATTTTATAGAACATTAGAAGATAAAAGGCAATGAAAATTACTTATGTGAGAATAAGTTGTTTATGCTTGAATTTCTGACATCCAACCAATAGAAGATTAGAGAATAGCCGGAAATGACCTTTAAAATTTCATTTAGTTATAAAATGCTAGAATTATGATCTACAAATTGAAGAATCCTAAGATTCATCTCTCTATTCTAAGTCTAATTGAAAATTCATAATATTCACCCAGAAGTTGAATTATTAATTATGAATGGTAGACTATTCATGCAGCACATGTTATCAGCTGCATCTTCCAAGGTCGTCCTAAGTCACTGTCCCTGTGGTTGCAATGTCATCCTTCTAATTCCCAGTAAGGTCAGTTATGACCTTTTACTAACATCTTTAGAAACATGTGTAAACATTTTGAAAGTAGTCTTACATAATTTAACAGTAATCCTTTACATCTTTATATTTCTACATGAATTCATGTTCTCATTCAAGAAAAGAAACCCCAGTGGGCCATAAATCCTCAGTGTCTTCCATGTCTCACATTTATCTGAATGCAAAGCAATCTCATCTGGAATCTTTCCAAAACTCGGTAGTCTTTTTCAACAATCTTCGACCTGTTAACAGTCCCACTGCCCTCTAAGAAATAAATGTTCTAGGCTCTAGGCGTTATCCAACTCTTTTATGCCCAGTTTCCAAAAACCAAACAATGATTTGTCTTACTAAACATCTTTTCCTTAATCAGAAAATCCTTGCTTTACTCTTTTTCTTTTCGAGTCCATTATCCCAAACGAAGATGTAAAAATAGGCTGCCTAAAATATTAGGAAAATCACTTTTTAGGCACTTCAATTTAAAAAAGCAAAACCTGCCTAAAATATTATAAAGCTCAGGTTTTTAAGCACTTCATTTGAAAAAGCACCTCACATCTATCATCCTTCCTTCGATTCATTACACCCCTCTGAAACAGGCAAGAGAGAAGTTGCTTCCCTTCTCTGGATGGGAAAACTGGCATTTGTATTAAAGGACTCATCACATCTCATATAATAGGAAATACAGTTTAGGCTGTATAGCTTCAAAGGCCAGTACTTTCTCCTGTTTTCATCCAATTTTTTCTGCCTCAAAGTCTCTAACTCAGAGATGGAAAACAGATTTCAAATCATATGCCATCAGTGACTGTGACAAGATCAAATTTGGTAGTGTGGTGGTAGTGGATGTCTAATAGACAGCTCAAACCTAATATATGCTTATTAGAACTGAGAAGGTGAAATTGACATAGCTAACACAGATCTTCTCAGAGTTTTTTATAAATGGAAGGAAAAAATCAATAGTTTCTTTTGATATACAAATCTAGTTTGAGTTATTCTCTCAGTATTTTGATAACCTTGTTCTACTTTCATCTGACTTTCATTACTGTTGTTGAAAAATTAGCTGTCAGTCTAATTATCTTTCCTTTTTGGGGAATATAATATTTTCCTTTGGATGCTTCTGAGATCCATCCACACTTTGTTTTTAGCATGCTGTGGTTTTAGCACAATATATCTAAATATAAAATTATTTGTAATATCATACTTTGGGATTACTAAACTTGTTAAATCTGAAGATTTGTATCTCATTAGTTATAATTAACTCTCAGTCACTTTCTCTTAAATTATAGCTTTTCTTTCCCATTAGCTATACTCTAAAATTCATACTGGACGTTGACTCTTTCAGTCTATCTTCTCTCTTACTCTTTTTGTGTCTTGGATAATTATTTCAGATCTTCTAGTTCCCTATAGTTCATGTAGTCTGATCTAGCTCCTTATATCTGATCTACTCTGCAATCTAATTCCAATTATATTTTCATATCTTAGTGTTTTATTGGCTCCTTTTCAAATCTTCCTTTTCAGTTAATAGTTTCTTGTTCTTTTGTCATTTTTGATAGACCTTTGCTTAACTTTAAGTAAAACATTTTTATATTATGCATCTCATTTTAACATCTGTAATCCTAGAAAGACTGATTGGTTGTTACTATTTCTGACTCTCTCTTTGGTGGCAACTTTTTTTGCATGCTTTTAATTGTGTGCTCACATTTATTAAAATTTTATGGGAGTACCTCGAAGCTGAGATTTAAGCTTCATCTCTTCAGAGAGGATTTACCTTTGTTTCTGCCAGAAGCCCCAATTACTCACCTGGAACAACTTTAAAGTCTTCACTTGGAGTTTTTGGTCACAGGTAATGTAAATGTGAGCATCGAACTGGAATGAGGACTGGCTCATGAATACAGATTCTTCTGAGAATTCTCCATCCAGAGCCAAGGTTCAGGCAGGTAGGTTTCCTTATTCTCTCACTACATGTGGCATATTTCCCTCTCATTTCAACTGTTTTTCCATCCAAGTATTAACTAGGCCTGACCCTGCTCAGCTTCCGTGATCAGACGAGATCAGGAACATTAAGCAGTATGACTGTAGACATATTTTTCCCTATCTTCCAAAGCATTACTTTTCAAGAAGTCCCAGGTTAAACAAGAGGCTGTAATCAGACTTTCCCATCCCCCATTCCTACTCCTATGTAGTCTCTTTAAATGATCAATTAAAGCTCTAGGTTCTAAAAGATCAATTAGATCAGCAATTCTCAACCTTTTTGGCACCAGTGACTAGTGCTCCTATGAGAATCTAATGCCTGATGGTCTGCGTGGAGCTGAGGAGGTGATGCTAGTGCTGGGGAGAGGCTGCAAATACAGATGAAGTTTCACTCACTTGTCTGCCATTCACCTCCTGCTGTGTGGCCCTATTCCTAACAGGTCTGCAGCCCAGGGGTTGGGGATCCTGAATTAGATGTCTCAAAAGCAATCACTTACTTCAGTTCCTGGCTAACTCCTCCAGATGTGTGTTTTCATTGTTTTGGTCCACTGAACACTTTCAATTCTTGCATTTTTAAAATATATGTTTTTACTATTTTATCCAACTTTAGATTATCTGTGTTGAGAGAGTGTCAGCTATCTAGTCCATAATAATGACAGAAAGGATAAGTTTCTGAGAAAATTTTCAAATATTCCAAACTCCTAGGCTAGAGCTGAGTATAGGGAGGTAGATGGTCTACATTATAGCCCAGCCAAGACTTTAGAGTATTTAAAATGCTGATTAAGTTAAGCATACATAATTTGTGGCTGGGACTTTTAGTCTGTACAGTGATTTTTTTATACATTATAAAAATCATTTTAAAAAGAAATAAAACTTAGCCATTCTAATATTATTAAATACATATACAGAAATTAAAGTTAGCTGGTACAGAATTAATAAAGTTCTTTTCTATTATAATTTTTTTTTGTATTCTAACTCTTCTTACTTACCGAACTTGACTTTGTGTTTTAGATGCAGCAGTGCAATATCAGAACTCATATATCCAACTCTATTGTATTCAGGATGGATAACAATTTTTGAGACAGGGATAGTTTGTTCTTGCTTATCCTTCTGAAAGAGATTGTACTCTCCAGCGATCACAGTCAGACTCTTAATTTGCTTCCTAAAACCAAAGAAAAATGTTTCATTCAGTAGTTGTTTTCCCCAAGAAAGACTGTCTTAGTTTCATGTAAATAAATGAAAAGTGATTAATGTACCTATATGCATTTCTAAGACCAAATATATATATATCTTTGTCGATGATTACAATTGTCATAATTCCCTATAAGTTATGGGGATCTATAAAAAGTCATAATTTTCAGTCACAGAGTATTTACACTGTGAACTCTTTCTCTTACCATCCTTTCTATGTGAAATAAGTGTGACCTTCTTTTCTTCTTTTATAAATAAATCAGTCTATACATGCTCTATCATTTTTAACAATATATAAAAATTGTTCCTAGAACTGTTCTTTTCCTCTTATTAATACCTTCTTTTAATCCAGCCAAGTATCTGTTATTTCCACGGTGTTTTCCCCTCTTAATGACTAAAACTCAAAGATTATTAAAACTTTGGAGCATCCATTTAACATTTAATGTTAATCCTTTATTAGAATGGGTAATTATTTTTCTCCACCACTAACTCCACGAATTATACATGATATCTGCGATCACTGGGGTTTCTTATCAGTAAAGCAGGAAGTGTGGCTAATCTTGGGACAGATATCAGTTTCTGGGAATCAGGAAGGTCAGTGGGTAGGCAGACCAGGTGTCAAAATTAAGAAAGGGATTGAGATTTAACTGTGGAAGGTGTTTAAAGCATCAAATCTCTCAGTTCTATCATCATGAATCAAAGTTTGACAAGTATTAGAAATCCACAACTTACTCATTGAGTCTAACCAGGCAGTGTGCTGCTGTAACCGCCAGATCACCTTGAATCAAGCTTCCTCTGCAGAAATGGTGCTCACATAATTTTAGGGAAACCTGCCCAAAAAGAAAATTATGAACACAACTAACATGCATCTCCCCAGGGATGTTGTCTCCCTCAGAAATATTTGAAATGAACTCTTCTATTATGATATAACATTCTTATGATAAATTGGTTAATAAGATATGAAGTAAACTGGCAGAGAGGTTGAGTAGAGTCGAGAGAAAAATGTTAACTTGCAGTTTTGAAATATGAAACAAAGGACATAATTCACCATTTTCTCATTAAGAAATCAATGCCTTTGTTATACTGACCTGCCACAGATGTCCATCAACTGTTGAATTTCTCCAACTAATAATTATAGTAAAAAACTCTGATTCCGAGACAGTCTCCATACTTTTCAAATCAACTGCTTGAACTCCACATTTCAGTCCTGTTGAAAAAGCATATGTATGTACACACACTCACACAGTGCACTTTATTAAAAGGTTCACTTTACCAAGATTTCACATTCAGATTTTCCTGGCCTGGCACAGATGTCCTGATATCACTCAGCTGCAGGCTATCCCCTTTCTTTTCTCAAGATATTCCTGAGACCCTACCCTTACCCGCCTTGGCTGGAACTTGCCTCAGGACTCCCCTGCCCATTTTCAGCCTGAGCTGCCCTAACAAGACAAGAACTGGAGGCAAGATGCTCCAGCTCTCCCTGTGGTGACCGACTGGGGGCCTTACTCTGGGAGAGAGAGCGATACATAATTTATGTTCTATCAAAGATACTGGAGAACAATATATGCTACCCCAGACGGCAGATATTTGGCTCTAAGTTACTTCGACTCGGTTATTTTTCCTTCACAGAGGCTGCTCAGAACGCAAAGTTAGCAGCTGTGCCTAAAAACGTGAACTCCAGAATTCGAGAATTTCAAAAAGAAACTGACCGAGGAGCTTCTTCGGGAACACCTGGGCCTGCACTGCCCCCTCCCCTCCCCCAACCGTTTCCTCTTCTGGCCTGAGGAGTTGCAGTGTCCCTCCCAGCAGTCAGGCTCCTGTGGCCTGGGCGTACAGGACCAGGCTCACCTGAGCTGGTGCGGAGGTCCACGGCGAACAGCAGCAGCACACCAGCTCCGGCCAGCGCCCACATGGCGCCCACGAACCGGGACTTTGTCCACCTCTCTCGGTCGCAGGCTGAGAAAACCGAGCAAAGAAGGCGGTCCGCACGAAAAGGCCCTAGCGCTCCTGAATCATCCGCCACTCCTGCTCTTCATTCTATTCAGCCTGCAACGTGATGAGCCACACCTGCCACGCCCCCGGGCTGAGAGCTTGCTGCTTTTCCTCCTCGGGATCCTCCCAAGACACTGCCGCCCCCTGGCTGCCCCAGGTTACACAGGATCCCTACCATCCGCCCCTAGAGACAGACACTAGATATCCCCGTGGCTGGTGGGACGCTCACACGTGTGCAGAGGTCCCTACGGACAGATGCAGAAGCAAGGTGATCAGCGACCTAGAAGGCTCAGCGCAGGTGAATTCTGTTCCACACCGGTGTGTGTGCTCAAGCTCAGGGGCAGGGAAGCTGGTGACATACAAGACACAGTGGGGCTGACTTCTGAGGGGAGCAAGATTCACAAAAACTTAAGGACTTAATGATACTTCTCCTGCTTCTAAGCAGCTTCGTGAAGCCCTTGACACTTAAGAGCCTTCAAACAGAGTCTTCAAACAGAGGATATGAAAAATCAGGTTCATGCTACCATTTCTTTACTGGATGGTGATGTTGTTAGCTTCAGTGGAATGGGCCAAAAGTGGTACGATCCATCATTTAAGATTATTAAAATAAATTCATGGCTAAGATGATCATGTCAACATTTTTTCCAGAAGTATTATTTTGTAATATGTTAGCTTGAGGCCGGGAGAGGAATAAAGCCAGAATTTGTAATGGATTTATATTTTATTGAAAATATAGGGCAAGGCTAAATGAACATTCTATATACTGAATAATCTGGACACCAATCCCCTAGGCCCAGTTGTCTCATTTCTGTGTAAAACAGAAATAAAAGCTCTTTTAGGTAGGAGGGCACACAAACAGAGGGAAGTAGGCAGACAGTAGACAGATGGATGGGAAAACAGAAGACAGTAAAGGTAGAGGGCATGCAGATACAGAACCAGGCAGGTGAGATTCAGCTGGGGACAATGACTCCTGTAACTGTAGAAGGGAGCAGAAAGTGAATGGGCACCTTTTGGTGAAAAGGTTACAAAATGTGTTTGGCACCCAAACTTGGAACACACTTGTCAAACCTTCTTTCATGAACCTAAAAAGGGTTTCTGTGATTTTTGTGTTCCGAGTTTATTACATGAAAATATCTAGAGCTGCGCTGTTCGCTATGGTGAACACTAGCCACATGTGGTTATTTATATTAAAATTAACTAAAATTTAATTTAAAATTTTAGTTTCTCAGTCTTGTGAGCTACATGTTAAGGGCCCAATGGTCATCTGTGGCTGGTGGCTACTATATTGGATAGTGCAGACATAGAGCATTGCCATCATCACAGATAGTTCCATTGGACTGCACTGTTCTTGAGTGAGTATGATTTTGTTTCAAGTATTTATTTTAAATAAAGACACCTTGGATGACAGTTCACTGAGATGACTTCTGGGTTACAAGCTTGGGTATCTAGGAGACACTAGGGAGGGGGCTTAGTAAAATAAGCAGCTCTTCTGTGAAAATAAGGCAGTGGACCTCCAGATTTGAGCACTGTTCAGGAAATCTCCAGGTATGGCAGATTCCTGGCCAAGGGCCCTCACCATTCTCATTCCTGAGTTTTGCTTTCACTGTAGTGATCTCATGAAGATTAGCATAACCATCCCTGACCTCAGGGGCCCACTACTCAATAAAATCTCAGACTATCCAAATAGACCCAAATTCCTCTCTTCTTAGCAAAAGGGAGTCAGATTAAAACTAATACAAAGCTTTTGTAAATAAAATGGAAGGAAAGAAAAATTACCATGTGCTGTGCAAATATAGTTGGACCCCCAATGTTGAAGTTCATGGCTAACTTATGAGGTTCACAGAGCTGTCCCCTTGCACTCTTTCTGCATGTGATACCCACAGCTTTGCAGGATCTTTAGTGGTTTATTTCATACCCAAAGTATCCATGAGATTGGGCATCATCTCATTTCCTGTTACAGCACAACTCCCTTTATTTCCAAAGTTCAAAACTCGAAGCCTCAAGTGAGAGCTCTTCCTTCTATATAGAGAATTGGTCTCTTACAGGCCTAACAAAATGCCTTTCCATTAAATAGGAAAAGAACCATTTAATGTAAATTGCATAATACCCGATATCCCGGATATTATCTTTAGATTTAAATTTGCTAATATGATGATGGTTTAAGTTTACGAAGAAGTTGAAGTGTCCAAATGGAAGTATTCTCTTATTTAAAAAACAAAAAACAAAAAACAACTTCAGAAAAGGAAGGACGTCAGTGAAGGGCTGAGTGGGCTGGACTACCCTAGATTAGACTTGTGATATATGAGAAATCTGCCTTTAGTTTGAACATATCTTCATTAGGGCAGTATAATAATTGTCTGCTATTAAAAGCCTTCCAGAACTCTGGATGGAAGCCCTAACTCTAAGGATAGTTGTAAAATTAGGAGTGTTAGGTGATGAACACACTAGCAATAAGCAAATTATTGGCAAATAATGTTTTGTGTAAAAAGTAAAATTTTCCATCCCAGCTAAACAACTAGTCTAAACTCTGGAACCCTCTTTAAAGTCCCACAAGTCCTAAGATTCAGCAGCAAGGGGGTTATTGATGCCCTTAGAAACAGTAGTTTCATATGAGTATTCGTTGCAGGGACAGATATCACTATAATGCAGAGGGAATGTGAAGGATGGAGGTATACAGAATGAGTGGAGACAATTCATTCTAATAGTTTGGCTGTGAAGGACAGAAAGATGTAGTAGCAGCTAGAGAATAAAAGAAATAAAGGAAGGCTATTTTTTCAAATAATTTCGATGGTGGTTACCTGTATGTGTGTTTTAAAAAAGAAAATTGACAAGAGCTAGCAAAAGGAAGATGTTAAAGATAAAAAAAGAGGTTAAGGAATCGAATGAAGTTCTATCAGAGGCAAAATACAAAGCCTAGAGCCCTCATATTCCACTGCAAGAATAAGAGAGAGGGAAGAATTGGGTGCAGATAAGGTTATAGAAAGAGCACAGAGTTTTGAGGGAGTACCCATTTTCTACCTTGTATTTACTTTGTGATGAAAGAGGTGAAGGCATTTACTTGGTAAGATGAGGGGACGGGTCTTGGAGCAAGCACTGAAATAGTCATTGTGGGGTCTGGGAAAGAAAGCAGACTTGAAATGAAGCACACAGAACAATGCAATGAATGAATGAATGAGGGAAGGAAAGAAGATTTTTTTTTTAAGCAGACACCTACTGGTGACATGGATTTCAAAGGATATTAATCATGGAGCACTTGAGAGATTGAAACAAGACAATTATTTTCATCATATTTTATATAAAATAGATATTTACATAAATTTTATTTCGTAAATACCTAGGCAAAGTATACATAATCAGACTTACATGGGAGAAATACTTTATGGGAGATATATTTCTAATGGCGCAGCAAAAGTAACAAAAATGTACATTTATATACAACTGATTAAAGTAGGAAATAAAAGCATTATGAACAAAAAACATGATGCAAGTCATTTCCCCCGTCAGAAGGAGAGATCGGTGTGAGTTACAGCAAGTCAAATGATTTCCATGTTATAAAAGCAAGCCATGGCTTCTATAGATATTTTAATTCCTTAGGAGGAAATTTTAAAAATATTTTTATTTCCCAGAAACATAACAAAATCACTGATTTTTATGGGTACAGACTGTAAAATAAGAGTGGTTAGCTCTGCCATGTTAAAGCACTTGGGCAGTTCAGTCACTTTTAAGGTTGTTTATGTATGTGTTTTGTTGTGGTGATTTTCTTAAGAGTTTCTAAAACGAAGGGCAACACTTAGCAGCTATGGCTTCAGATGTAGAGGGCTTTCAATTTGGATTCATTTCAGGAGACCCATAGAGCTTGATAGTTCCCTAGAACTACCCAGTGAGTCCTCCTTTAATGAGTGATAAACATGACTGAGACATTTGGTAACTCGCCCAGGGTGAGGCGGCTCCAGTTCCTGGTGGCAGAGGAAAGACTAAGAACCCAGACCTCCTGATTCCTGAACTGGTGTACCCCGCTCACGGACCAGCCCAAAAGGACATTATCCACATTGGAAACTTTTTTTTTTTCTTTTTTGGAAACTTCTAAATGTGATACACATATACTCTGTGTGCCCCACTGAGAAGGGGAGGAAATTCCTGGCTTTCTGGACACCTCTTTCCAGTTTGGGGTGAACTTACAAATTAATAATGACTGTATATTGTGACAAATTAATAATAACTGTATATTATGATAGATGCTAATTTTACAAGTTACGTACCCTAAACGTTTTAATTGAAAGGATCCTTGGTGATAAAAATAGAACATTTTTATATGAGCCAATTGATAGATATGAATATCATCAATTCTGTTGTGCCATTTTATTTTACTGATTTTAAACCATGCCTTTGATTCCAGTATTTTATTTCTTCTCTTTAAACTATATGGCTACTAAAAACAAAAATAATGAGAAAGTGCTAATCTTGGAATAATTGTTCAACATATTTTTCTTTTACATCAAAAACATCAAGAATAATAATAAAAGAGTTATATTTCCCTATATATTATTGGCATTATAAGTTTTTATCTTAATTGTAGCCTGAATGCAAAATTTGAAAGCTATATTTGTTCTTTTACAATGTCAAAAGATGGCATTTAGATAAATTTTGTTATTATTGGGAAATATCAACATACAATTTAATCAAAGTAAATGTGACATGGAAATCAGGAAAAAATTTAAAAACAAACCACCTAAAACTACATTTGCTTTGAATGTTGTTACTAATATCCTACAGATTTATTAATCTAAGATGTTAATCCATCACACATCAGAGCAAAAGTTTTATTTTTTTCAAACTGATTCTAATGAGTACAATTAAGAAATAATTTTTAAATGCTGACATGTGTGTAACCTAAAGAAAGACAAAGGTCTAGGCATAAACTTTATGTCATGGACACCCTCTTAGATTCGTAAAAAAGTATGAGTTTTACATACTGGGCACTTTGAGTACGTGCAAATGGCAAGGCAATTCCTTTCCCTCTGAGAATGAAAAATTCTGTAAATATAAGGTCAAATCACAGTCCAACTGCCACAAGTGCAAAACTACCCCATCTAATCCACCTGTTTGTCTGTCTCAAAATAACCTCAACCAACCAATTGTGCCATAAATCGTTCTTTAGAATTCTTTGGCTCATTTTAGTCTAGATTTAAAAGTAAAAATTATGAAAGGTTATAAACATTTCTTTTGTAAAAGTCATACACTCCCATTGAAATCATTAGCCTGCAGTGGCTCTCTAGCCTAGCTGCACATTAGAATTAGGAGTCCCTAAAATAAAATTAATTTTCCTTCAAGGTATTTGAATCTTTGGTTTAGTTTACCTATGTTACATCACTGAACCATGTTTTATGACTGCCATTAACAAATTGAAAACATCTGAATCATTTTTAAAATCCTGAATCATTGTCAAGTTTGAAATAAGCTTATGAAGCCATTCTCATGGCTCCTGTGTCAAAGGACACATTAAAGGGCTGCCATTTATGAGGATTTTGAAGGCAAGAAGAACTGCTTTTCGGTAGGAGTGAAAGGTGGGTTAGACAGACTGGCAGTAGGAGGAGGGAGATATGTACACAAAGAACTCTAATGTAGCTGAGAAAAAAATGGCACATGCTACTCAGAATGACAGAGTCACAGATGAAACTGATCATTAGATCAAGTGTTCAGCCAGCCTAAAGCAACTTTGTCTTGTCTTCAGCCATCTTCCCTCCTACCCAGGACCTGCCATATATTTAAAGACCCAGTGCAAAATGAAATTACAGGACTCCTGTTAAAGATTATTAAGAATTTCAAGCAGGATATTCAACCAAGCATAAGAGTGCAGGATCCCGAAGGACTGTGTAGGCTGCACGTCCATGTAACTAGCTCTGCAATTCCATCTCAGAAACAGGCTTATCAACTCACGTGCCAATCATGCTTTCTTAAGGGCAGCCTGGATGCATCTCCATGTCTAGCCGGGGCATTCAGTTTTTATTTTGATAAGCACGAAAACCATATATTATTTCATGTTATAAAGATCAAATAAAAATCGTACAAAATACACTTAATATCTTTGAAAAATAACGTGTGATTTATTTTCTTATAGGCACCATTTCAACTATGAAAATTATTCCATTGGCCACATCTCAGTGAAGGTATTAACTCAAAACAGAAATATCTGATGCAACCGTGCTAATTTTTAATGTTCAAAGAGATGCCAGGGTATGAAGACAGAGCAATAGAGAAAAAGAGAAAAAAGATATGAAGTAGGGAGAGGAGAAAAGCACCAAAAGAAGGCAGAAAAAGTCTCCTGAAGGCTATGTGACCCTTTTCTCTCAGAGACTTTTGGGCTGTAATTGCCATTTCAATTATTCCAACAAACGTACTCTCATAACTTTAGTGGCACTTCAAGTAAGGCATAATTGCTTTTCAAAATTTGGTGCTCAGTTTTTTCCATTAACTTTCTAAGTGTGAATTTTGGTTATAGATTATCCTTAAAAAGTTGTAATTAAAGTTCTAGATACTAGTTTTAGCTAGAGCTTCATATTATTTATTTTGGGGCTAGGGTATAACACAGTATATTTTTTAAATGCACTGTATTAAGTTTCTTGGCTTAGGACTATAAAAGTGTATCTTGTGGGTGGGGAGGCCAAAGAAAATATTTTAAATAAACTTTTGGATAAATTTGTGATATACAACATTAAAAGACTATTAGGAACAGAAGGTCACAGGGGTAATATAAACATTATTGGATGATCGATGCACACAAACAGAGGTATGCTAATGCAAATTATATAGTCCTTTGCATTTAAAACATTCCTCATGTTATCTCTTTTTAAAGAAGTTTTTCTTCCTTTTCCTGATCTTGGATTGAAAAGAAGCAGAAGGTTTTCACCCTGGGGCTAAGCATGTGGAGTATGTGTGCCTTCTGACTACCATATGTCAATGACACCTGGATCGGCACCATGAACAGCACTGCCCAGAGTGGTTTCTTTTTTTTAAATTTTAATGATGATGACCAAATTAAAAGGTGGTCCACTTTTAAAATATATACCAAAATATAATACCACCGAAACACTGAAGGCCAATCCCTAATTTCATAATGAGTGAATAACCAATACAACTTTTCTGAGAAGCTGTTACAACCAAACTATTTTTAATTTAGATTTATAATTTTTTTATGATCACGTTTGAAAGTTGCAATTAAAAACCACTATGTACAAAGAAAAACTGTATGTATGTATATATTAAATATTTTATAAGTTATGGAATAAATAACATTAAAAAATGTCAAATTGTAGGTTCAACTTTTCCTTCCTTACATTTAAATATAAATATATATTTTTAAATTATGAATTTAGACTTTTTTCTCAGATTTTTTGAGCATTCTCCATGAAATCTCCAGGATTACAAATACAGAGCCAAGAATTCTGGGTTTCCATCAGTCACATTCTAAGCACAGAATTCTCATATGCCCAGGAAGACAAATCAATAAAGCTCTCTTTCCACTTAGAGTCTATGAAGACTTCTGTGATATATTGTAAAGATTTCTCAATGGTTAAAAATAATTTTCAAAAAAATAATAATCTCATGATGTCTAAACATTAAGATAAAGTAGAACATTTCTCTCAGTTAATATCTTTAATAATTCCCATGTAGAATATACTATGTTTTTCTCCACCAAAATAACAATATATGTGGAGGCAGAAACATTTATAATTTTAAAAGCACTTTTCAAATCTTAGAGCAGAACCACTACTCTAGTAATACCTGTAATAAAATTTAAATAATTTAAAATTTTCCATAAAGAATTAGGGGTACTAAGATCTTAGATTTTCCCCTAGAGATAAGAATATCACACATAAATCCAGAAGCTTTCTTTTTGATATGTTAGGCAATGGAAAAGCTTACATGAAAGTACAATTTAATTACTCGATAGGGACCTAGCAATATCCTTAGGGGACTATTAGATCAAGCTCACTTAATAATAGCCCTTTCCCCACATATTCTGGAAGGTTCTACGAAAACTTTTAGATACTCCTTTCTTGTTCTGGAGCATTAAATGAGCCACCTCTTGGTAGAATTTCCCAAATGGCTTATCTCAGAGGATTTGTCCTCTTGGAAATATCCCATCTCATTATGAAGCAATGCTCTGCCCTCTCAGCATTTCTAACTTCAGTATTTCTGGGACATAAGAGTCTAAACTAAGAAATAGAATCAAATCTCTGGGTTGCAAAAGCAGAGAAATACATGAAGGGAAATCTGGAGTTAAAGCAAAATAATCTATAAAATGCGTAGTTATTTTTTTCCCCCTTCCCTTTTAGACCTCCTAGCTTTTTCTTGCTCTTTTTTGTCTTTTTGGAAATGTAAGTTCCTCAGCACAGGGTTACCAGCAGGGATCCCCTAATGCGCCACCCCGAACTGGGGGTAGAGGAAAGCTTCATTGGTTGTGCCTTTGCTGATGTAAAAATAAGGCCTCCATTACTTCTTCTTCCAGAGGCACCAACACTGTCCTTGAGATCAGGTCAAATGCTGCTATGTTTGATCCTTTTCTCGAACTTCTTGTAATCGTTTTTCTAGGCGATCCAATTTGGCGAGATTTTCCTGCAGCAGTTTGCTGTCTGGAACCAGTTGTAAGGCTCTCTCATAATAAGCTCTTGCAGACACATAGTTTCCCTGTTGTGAAAAAAAAAAAATAGAATAATTATATTCTGACCTATCAGAACACTCTGTTAGAGAATGAGGAGACTAGAAAACAGAACTTCTCACCTAATTTAACATTAATATCCTTATAAGGAAACCCTGTCTGTATGTGTAATTTTATCCTTATCTTTTGGTGTTTTTGGAGAAACCATTTAAGTACCAGACCATCCGGAGAATGTGAAGGTTAAGAGTTATACCATAAGGTGAAATGGCAGAAAACAGATTTTCAGTTCTACTAATGCAAAGTGGGAGACTACTATTTCATACTGTCCTCACAGGGCTAGCACTATTCTTTTGTAATCAAATGGAGCCAAGGCAGGTGAAATTCAGAGAGAGAAAGAGAGAGAGAGAGAGAGAGAGAGAGAGAGAGAGAGAGAGAGAGAAAGAGAGATTGAGAGAGAGAGGAGGTACGTGTATAGGGAAATGTTTCGAAAGTCCAAGGGTAATGATTAAAAAGTAAATAGTTTAGGAATCCACAATATCTATTTAGTGGTAGGAGTTATTTTAATCCTCAACTTGAAAGGGAAAACCAACTATTGCCCAATACATGGTATTAATTAATGCAAATGTAAGTTTCTATAAAATGAAAAAAATAAGAATATAGAGTCAAATTTATTCAATCCTCATGGTGTCTCATAACATGTACCTGTTGGATACTTTTAAACCAGGAAGGCAGGTATGTCACTCCTGACCTGCTAAAGACACCTGTCCCTATCCTCTGTTGGCTCCCATCTGGTTTGTTCAATGCCTCCCTAACTGGCAACCACGTGTGCCTGGTCCCAGGCAAATTATTCACAATTAACTAACTTTTCCCAGCCCCTTTTCTGTTACTAAACGTATTACCTTCCTCATGTGGTCTGCAGTCTTTCAGATCTGTATAGTGTCAGAACTAAGATTGTCAGAGAGCTCCATTTTAAAAAATATGAATTTGCTCTACTTTATTCTGTTACAGCTCCACGTGGATGAAAACAAGTTTCTTTCTAAATTTCTACCACAGTTTAAAATAGCACCTCTTGAAGTAAAAGTACTACTTAGCAATAGCAACTAATAGCAACTATTTTCCAAATGAGTTAATATGTGTCAAGAGTTTAGACACTGCCGGACACTGTCCAGGCTGTGTAAATACTATTTCTTGTAGCACTCACTTGTTATACTGGTGAAAAGGAGAGTAGAAATGACAGAACAGGAAATTGTACATTGGGAATCCAGGCTCTGGCATGTGTACAAATGAAGATGTCTCTCATTGTTAACCCTGATTCTGATAAGAATTCCGAACAAGTGAGAATCTGGATTTGCTACATTATTTTTATTTTCAACTCAAGCATTTATCTTCCAAGTGCCTTCTGAAGTTTATTAAGCTGAGCACACACATGCAGACAACTTTTGTGAGTATTAACGTGCTCTCAAAATATGTTTCTACTGCAGCTGACTTTGAAATTATTCTTCCAAGAGCTCTCTCTCAATTTAGGCCTCAGATTGGTGCCACCGCATCTTCTCTAATTACCAGTTTTCTCTCTCTTGTCACACAAAAATTTAGTCATAGAGTTATTTTCTGTCCCTCAAATTGCCCTTTTCTTTATTACACTGGAAGCCTTATTTTAAGAAACAACTTATATCCCTTAATTCAATATACCCAATTCCTAGGTGCTAGGAAGAGAATTTGAATTATTTAATTTCTAGAAATGTGTATCTAGTATGATAGCTACCGGTTATATGTAGCTATTTAAATTAATTATGATGAATTAAGAATTCCGTTGCTCAGTTGCACCTGCCACATTTGAAATACTCAACAGCCACACATGGCTGGCTAGTGGCTACTGCCTTAGACAGTGCAGATATAGGACATCTCTGTCTTTGCAGAAAGTTATATTGCACAGTGTCATTCTATAAAATGTATTAATCTCATAAGGCAGCACTGAAAATAATACTCTGTGATATGGCCCAGTTGATGCAACTCTGATTATAAAGAATGTATTGTAGCTTTTTTGTTCTATCCAGTTCATCCTATATAAAACTTCATAAAAATATGATCTTTTATCACTAAGTAGTATGAGCAAGAGACAACTCCCTTCCACCCATTCCTCTGTCACCTCCTTGCAAAACCTATTCCAACTCTCACCCTTACCAAAGCCTTTAGTCCTTCTTAAGCTTTACCTAAGGCAAAGCTTCTACCATTTTCTCCTCCCTATTTATCCAGTCCTCATGGTGTCTCATAACATGTACCTGTTGGATACTTTTAAACCAGGAAAGCAGGTAACTCACTTGCCTCCTCCCTATTCTTCAAATACAGCAAGCATACTTGCACCTCAGGACCTTCGCACACGTTTATTCCTTATTTTGCCACGTGCCTTCCTCTTCTCCGGTCCCAGCTCAAATATCACATTAACTGAGGCCTTTCCTAACCACCTTAATTTAAAATTGCAGCCCTGACCCCCTGACACTCCTATCTTCTTTCTTTCTCCTCAATAACACTTATCACCATCTGATATATTTTATGTGTATATATATGCATGTACATATGTGTTTATTTACCTGTCTTATTGCCTGTCTCCCTCTACTAGAATGTTAGTTCCATTGTTGTATTCCCAGTTCCCAGAAGAGTAGCTGGCCATATGACACTCTCTATAAATGCTTGTCAAATAAGTGGGTGAATGAATGAATGACAGTGAATCTCTGATTTCATTAATTATAGACAACAGTCCCCCAAAGGATCATTTTCAATAATTCACCTAAAGGTAGCATTTTCTTTTGAAAAACAAAACAAACATAAATACAACCAAGTAACCTTGTTTTTCAGTAAAAAGTTAAGGAATAAAAGACACATTAGGTATAAGAAATAGTAAAGTAATATTTAAAGTAACACTTTCTCTTGATAGTGAGTTAAGCTACAGGAAAATAACTGCACTAAACTCCAACAAAGCTTTTAGTTCACACGAGCAGATTTTATCTGCTCTATGATAATACTTTTCTGAAGTACCTGTGGTTTTCTTTATGATAAATTAAACCATGGAATCTAATTTTCATAGATTTATTTTTTAAATGGCTTCATGCTAGTCAATATCTAGGTAATACGAAATGAACATAAGTGGCTAATTTTAAACAACTATGTTTTTGGTATTCAAATAACTCAAAGAGGAAGTTCATAATAGTTTCTCAATATTTTAAGAGAAGAAAGACAGAAAGAGAAAATACAAAGGAAAAATCCAGTTTGCATGGAAGTGAATTCTTCTCCTACCTTGATGTGCTGGATTCCACCCATGTTCATCCAGGCCTGCGCCTGCTCTGAATTCAGTTCCACGGCTGCTTTGTAACTCTAAATATGTAAGAAAGACCTTCAGACTGGGAAATGAGAACCCATCTTTAACACCACATAATGTGGAAACCACTTTCTTCACATGTGAAAATTTAAATGGTTAAGAAAACGAACAGCCACTTCTAGTCCACAGGTGTTCCCATTTATTTCTGTTATTTTTTAAAGCTGATGATTCTAAAATGGAGGAAACAGAAATGTGTAATTTCCTTGCAGAACTAACATTTGGGCTTAAAGAGACTTAAGATGCCTGCAGGGAATCCAGGTGATTTCTATTATTGGGCAGCATTCCCGCTGGCCTTGACCTGCAAGAAAATAGCACTTTTCGGCCTTTTTTGCTATAAAGGGTTTGGTAAGGAGTTTTTTTTTTTTTTTTTTTAATAATCACAGAAGCTTAAAGTAGTTTCCTAAACAGCCTAACTGTACTGTAGTAAGTCCTGTGACAATATCGCTGACCTGGTTATTCAGCCTATGCTTAAATTCTTGTGGTGACAGGATGCTCATTACTTCTTTAAAGACACCTATTTTACTAGGTGGTAGTTTTAATAATTATAAAGTCTTTCTTTTTCTTCTGCCATAGGAAAGATCTTCACTGTTTGAAGGGAACTACCTAACCCTTAAATATTTTTGACTTTTTGCCTAAATAGCATGTATTCCATTATATGTAACAACCATGAGATATATTTTTAATATTTTGTATGTTGTTTTACATCAAAGGAATGCTCACCACTGAGTCTTGATTTTAAGAGTGGTAAACTTAATAAAACTAAAGGTTAGGAGTGTTGCCTTTACAGAGTGTTCAGTAACAAAACTGAGTATGTATGTGTGTAGTCCAATGCTCCTTGCTATTTTCATTAGCAAGAATTCGACTGAACAGATCCATAAAGTAAAGAAAATCTGTCCATCCCTCCTCTATTTCAGTTTTAGAAGAAAGAGCAAAGGTTAAGAAACTATATGCTCTTAAAAAGCTGCTAAAATAAACTTGAAGAGTATGTCTTAAGTGTTATCGGCAGATGGGATGTAGTGTAGGTAGGGTAAAGATTCAAATCCTCACTCCATCTCTTACCCTCTGTGTGACTTTGAGCAAGTTACATAAACTCTGAGTCTCAGTTTATTCAACTGTAAACAGAGACAATGACCATGATTTTCTCATATGATTGTTGTGAAGATTAAATTACTTAATGAGAATCATAATAAAAGTGTTAACACATTTTAGTTGCTGTTATTAGCCAATAGCCCTACCCCTACTCTTCAGAAATCTAGCTACTCTATAATGATTATTTAATCCATTAGTCAAACAATTAGAAAATACTTTTGTTTTCAATACAAGATATAAGACATAAATAACATATAAATATTCACCGTTAAAGTAATTAATCATTAAATTGTCATGTTAGTTATAAATAACTTACGAATGATGGTACTGAAAATGTTCACAAGGCAGAGAAAAATGCATAATTTCTATCTCAAATATGCCACTGTTTCTGTTTTAAGGGGTTGCATTCAAGTTAGTTTTTCTAAATATCTTTGCATGTGTTTTCTAATAATGTTTTAAAGGCCACTCACTGTTTATTTTCAAAAATAATTATATTATTTGAAATTTTATTTTCCCATGATATATTTAGTGTAATTTTTCTGACTTCATTAATTCCAACTGTGGCTTTACCAGGTACAAGGAAAATGTATGGTATTCTATAATATTTCTATTTAACTTTGTAAATGTCTTTTTGACTTTAAATTTTGTATCAATTGTGTTCCAAAGCTGTAGATACTGAATACTTATAAGATGCAATATACCATGTTTTAAAACACAGAAGGAAGCAGGCCCTTTCCACAAGGAAAAGTCCAAGCAAACTGGGGAGCTAAACCACATGCATGCACTTGTAGGGGCTGGGGCTCTAAGAATACGATAATTACATCGTACATGACACTTCCAAATGATTGTTAGAGACAGCGTTTTAAGAGTTCAGTGTAAACAAAGTCACTGAGAAAAAGAATGGCACAGAGGGCTTCGTGAGGGAGGAGGACACGGGCTGTGTGTTGGCAGCAGGGTGGGGATTTGCAGGGGGTCTGGGGCTGGGCTGGGAAGAGTGTTACAAGGGGAGGGTACAGAAATGCCAAAAGCGATTCAAGCACTAGTGCAGCTGGCATAGAGTTACTGAAGATAGAGAAAGAGCAAGAGAGGGAGAAGCTGGTTTGTGGGCAAAATGTGGAAGGCTTCAAACATCGAGTTAAAGATGACGATTCAGAAAATAATGTAGAGGTATTGCAGAACTCCAAATAGGCAAAAATGAGAGGCAAGATATAAAAGCAACCTAAGTGCCCATCAATAGATGACTGGATAAAGAAGATGTGGTACATATACACAATGGAATATTACTTGGCAATTAAAAATGAAATCTTACCATTTGTGACAACATGGATGGACCTAGAGGGTATTACGCTAAGTGAAACAAGTCAGACAGAGAAAAACAAATATCACATGATCTCACTTATATGTGGAACCTAAAGAACAAAATAAATGAACAAACAGAATAGATACTGAGAAAAAACTGATAGTTGCCAGATGGGAGGGGGGTAGGGTGAAAAAGGTGAAGGGATTAAGAGATATAGATTGGTAGTTATAAAACAGTCACAAGGATGTGAAGTATAGCATAAGGAATGCAGTCAATAATATTGCATTAAGTCTGTACAGTGCAGAGTGGGTACTAGACTAACTGGGGGGCAACATTTAGGAAATTATATAAATATATAACCACTATGTTGTATACCTGAAACTCATATAAAATAATATTCAATGTCAACTGTAATTGAAAAATAAAAAATATATAACCATTACATGAAAAAAAAGGCTCAATTTTATTGTCAATTAACCAGAAAATTCACAAACATGCTGATGAATTTAGATTTTACTATATTTGCTTCATTAAAGATTAGGGAGTATTAATTTTAATCCATGAATTTAATAACAATTTTATTAAATGTTTATACCTCAAAAGCTTTGTCCAGAAGGTTCTGCTCTCTTAGTTGGTTTCCTTTTGTGAAAAAAAGTTCAGATACGACGTTTGGGTCCTTTGGTTTCAGCTGGAGAGCCTTGTCTATAGCATGCAGTGCCTGCGCAGGTTGCAAATCGAAACAATAAATGTTGATTAGATAAGGAAAAAACAATTTAAATGATAAAATTTATACTTTTTGTTCGTATGTATTAGGTAGTGTGGTAAAGGACAATCAAAACACATTCTTCATTCTTTAATGTTCTCGTTGAGAAATAATGTGGCCCTGACAAAATAATTTCCCTGTACTCCAGGTTCCCCATTTATATTCACAATGAAATCTCCCTGATCACTTCACAAGGAAGTTGGGTGATCCAGCTGAAAGAGAGTAAAATCTGGGGTCGGACAAGTTGCCCTTACCACGTCTCAGTCTGGGCCACTCAAACAGCCTCTCTTCGGTCCCTGGAGCCCACCCTGCCCCCAACACACATTGCCCTGCCCTCTGCAGCCAGAGATCTCTTCAAAACACAAATATGATGATGACGCTTTTCTCCTTAAAACCCCAAAGCTTTTTTCAGGGTAAGGAACAAACCTTTGCCCTGTTCCCAAGCCTTGGGGTCTAGTCTCCAGCAGCCTTTGAGGCCACATCTCATGCTGTACCCTGCTGCCTCATGCCCATCCTTCAGACAGGTCATTCACTGTTGCCACACGGCCTTTGCTCCTGTTTTTTTTTTTTGGTCTTGTCTGGAACTCTCTTCACTGTCCGCTTTTGCCTAATAACTCCTATTCACTCAGCCCTCACCGCCACTTTGCTCTTCAGGGAAACTGACCTCACAGACTACTCAGGTCTCCTGATTATAACTTCATTAGGGACCATGTCACTTTATGATATCAGTGAGCACAGCTATAATTCTACATTGATTCTGTGATTACCTGTTTAATCTGTTTGCTCTTCTAGTTAAACTCCATGAGAACAAGGGCAATGATTTTTTTTAATATCAATTTATTTCTAGTGCCCATCACAGTGTCTGGCATATAGCAGGTATTCAATAACTATTTTGTTGAGTCAGTTCATGGGTTTACTAGTTATGTGACTTTTTAAATGGAGAAAAATACAGGGTCACTGACCTGCCTTAGATGGTGTTATAAGGTTTCTATAAAAAATATATTTGGAGGAACATGGAAAATGATAAAGCATGAAAGTGTTAGTCTTTATTTTTATAGAATTAGCCGAAAACAAACTGAGATAATATATAAAATTTTCAGACCATGGAAGAGCTAAGAATGTATTTCAAGGGGACATCTTAGGAGTTAAGAAGATATCTGTGGAAAGTACCCATAAGATCGGATATGCAAACTAATGATATTCAAGACTGCTCAGCCTTGTAACTGTGCAAACTGGAGAACCATTTAGGTACACCCTATTTTCTACCCATGAATCCAAACCGTGTCCCCTCTACCTTATCGTGGTGCTCCTGCTTGCTGTAGATTGCTGACAACAGGCGATAGCATTCAAGGCATCCAGCCTCCTCCGAAACAATGTGATTGGTCATCTTTTCCGCTTCTTTTGTCTGACCCATCACGGCTAAAACCTGAGCCTGCAAAACCATGCAGACCTTAGCTTATAAGACACTTTATCGAATAAAGCAGAGGCATTCAGGAAACACCCCAGATGAAAGTTCTCAGCATATATTGTTGACTCACAGAGAGGGCTGAATTACCATAGCTTACAGGCATTAATTTTTTGTTGTTTATTTTTTATTTATTTAGGTACGTGCATGAGTTTCTGCATGAATGGCAAGAACATCACAGATATCCAATGAAATGACTGTCTTTTTTAAAAAGCTGATTAAATATGTCAAAAAAGGGAAATGATTTCCTATGGTTTCAACAGAACACTGTGTTTGTAATAAGATAACAAGTTTGATTTACTGGAAATACAAGGAAAAGGAAGAGTACTGATCCAAAAATTAAATACAAAATACTGTCGTTTAAATTTCCTGAATTTGATAACCATACTGTGGTTTTGTTAGAGAACATCCTTGCTCTCAGGAACTATATGTTGAAGTATTTAGAAATAAAAGGTATGAGACCTATAATTCTCACATGGCTCAGGAAAAAGTAACATGTATTAATAATATGTATATGCACACATATATCTGCCTAAATATGCACATTTATATGGGTACATACATACATATATGCATGCATACATGCATGCATGCATACATACATACATAAGAGGGTGATAAATGCATAAAAATGCTAAAAAACTGATCAATCTGGATGAAAGAGTACATGAGAGTTATTTAATATTCTTGCAAACTTTTGCACATTTGAAATTATTTCAAAACAAAAACTTAAAAGTATTTTTACCATCCATGTCTTTTGTGAATGGCTCTAACACTGGTTATATGAATATTCATAAAATGGATAGTATTATAGCACTCCACTTCCCGTTCTGAGGCTTACTGACTACAGCTCCCTATATTTCACACTGTGCTTATGTTCCCAGCTTCATTTTTTTCAGTCTATCTACTCACCAGTGCCAGGCGGAGGTCCCTCTGGGAAGGCTGAAGTGCTACAGCTTCCCGGTAAATCTGCAAAGCCTCTTCATATCGGCCAGTGTTGTAATATAGTGCTCCCAAGGGTGATAGTATCTCAGCTTTGCGTGCCACCTGCAGGGCGCTGAGTTTTGAGAAAGATGAATTAACACTTTTCATCTAATAGGTACATTTCCAAAGGTCAAAACTTAGATTTAGGGATGACTGTCTGGGTTGGAGACTTTGCTCCAATGTGGTCTTTGTGTTTCTATCAAGAAGAATATTAAAAAAACAAAAAGATCATGGTGCCACCTCTGACTATATGAAAGTCTAGTGACCTACCAGTATGGAAACTGAGCACCAAGAATCTTTTCTATTAATGGTGATAGACTTGTTTTGATGCATGCACAGTATTTCATCCATATCCACTTCAGAAACTGCTATTTTTGATTTGGGTTGCAGTCCACTGCTTCAGAAAACAGTGGAATAGCTAAAATGAGAATTAAATTCCAACCTTGGTTAAGCACCATCTTCTAACCAGTAAGCAAAAAAGTCACTAACTGGGATACCATTTACAGTGTTGTATTGTTCTCTTTAGATATGAGAATCTGAATGGACTGCATTGGCAAAATTTTCTAGTATTCTGAGATGATGTCTGTTTTAATTAACTAAAAATTTGATGATAGTCGATAATATCGTAATAACTTTACAGTGACAGAAGGTTATTAGACATCATGGTGATCACATCATAAGGTATATAAATTCTAATCACTATGTTGTACACCTGAAACTAATATAATAACAACTATACTTAAAAAAATAAAATTTAAGAGTTTAAAAAACTTGATGGGCAATTGCAGAGGTCTTTGGGTGACTTACAAAGTAAAGAAAAATGACTTTACCGTTTATACCATTCTTCAGCCACACTGTTGTCTCCCAGAGACCTGTAGAGTCTTCCCAGGTTCACCATGGCCACGTGATGATTTGGGCTAAGTTTGATGGCCTGTTGGTAATGGGCCACTGCCTTCTCTGGAAAGCCTGTGATGCATAGTGGGTTGGTAAGAGCGGAACATAACTTAATTATAAAATACACAGGCTCTTTCATTTCTCTTCTGATGTACATCATTCTTCTTACAGAGTCATACCGTCAATTATTCAGTTTGGAAATTACCTTGAATTTCGGCTTCTTCTTGCCATTGCCTAACTTTAGACTATTTGACTATTCATTCACATTTCTGAAGAAATTAATTTTAAAAAGCAATAGAAACTACAACCTATTTCTTTTATTACATACATTATTTTAGTCAAAGTGTTTTTTTGGCCATTGCCCTAGCTAATACGATGTTCTGAGATTATTTGTGACTGTTATTTACACAAGATATTGTTGCTTCTCATTATACAAAAAAAAAAAAAGAATAAGCTTTATGCAAAGAAAACTGTCCTGAAGCAATTTCTAAGGGCCTGTCTGAGTTTCTATACCACAACATAGTAATTCAGGCACTGCTTTAAAGGTATATTGCTGTATTCTAAAAATCTTTTTAAATCATACTTTGTTTAGATGGTCTTTATTTGAAGGGACTTACATAATAATGCCACCTTGCATTTGTCCAAAGTATTGTGTATTTTAAAACATTTTAATTAAGTGCTATCATATGATCCTTGCAGTTATTTTTCATACTATTCAAGCTGCCTTTTGATATCACTTAAACTGTCTCTTGGGATGTAAGAGATATCTTAAATAAAATGATCACTTTACAGACAAGACATTACAGTGTAAAGACATTAAGAGACTTGACAAAAATTCCAGGGCAAGTGAGGGAAAAGGCCAGAATGAGAATCAAGTCTCTCTAATCTGATAAGATTCCCCAAAGAAGCGGCCCAGTGAAGTTACATCTAAGTGACCAAACCGTAGAAGAGTCTAAAGTTCTATGTGGAACTACATGTTTACTGCCTGTACAGACATCTTCTCAAGTGCACCCTCTTTGAATGCAAGTTTGACTAGGAAGTGCCAAAAAAGACTTTATGTATATCTAGGTCTATGTATCGGCTACTGGTGACAGGAAGAATTTTGCCAGTGTGAAAAACACAAATGCAAAAGAAGTGGTGGGAAGATACATAATGTGGTCAGTATGTATTGGGGATGGGGGTTGGGAGTGGCCTTGTTGTTGTTGTTGTTGTTGAAGTAGAAGGAAGAAGACTAGACCAAGGAGGTCTCTTCTAGTTTTTATGTCATTATGATACCAAATTTATCATTATATTGCTAATGAACCAGCAGATGGCACCACAAAACAATTTTACATGCAAAAATAAAGGATGTTTCTTAGGTGAATCAGAAGATAAATTTACGTTCTATGAAACAGAAGCAGTTCTAACATCCTCAAAAATAAAAACCCTTTTGAGTATTTCATTTTGACAAAATAATTAAAATTTAATTTTACTGCAGGGCAGGTAGTATAATAGTGAAAGAGAAGAATGTGGTGATTTTACATTAAATTCAAATATCTTTTTATACTTTATAAGGATTCATAACATGCAAATAGTACATGAGGCACAAGTCATAAAGAAAGCAGAATCCCTGCTCGGTAATGTTTTGCATTAAATAAGATGGAGTAAGTATATTTTCCATAGCATGGTTATATAAGAATACTCTATCGATTATAGTAATAGTTTATATCATGTATATGACATGAGGAACAATAAAACAATTCTAGAGGCTTTTTTATCAGTTGTAAAAAAGTATTTACCACCTGCCATTTACTAGATTCAGAGGCAGGTTGTGCATTATTGCAGAGGAACATTTCATTACCATAGATTTATAAACTTGTATAAAGGATACTCAAAGAAGACTGCTACTCATTAAATCATCGAGGCAACTGCCTGCCACCTGGGGAATTTTCCTTCGAGATACGATTATAAGAACCGGGCAGATTTTACTGAACTGAGTCTGAAAATTTAGAGGAATGATACATCATGGTATAATGCGACTGTCGCTGGTATGAGCATCCTGCCAAGCCCAGGGATTTTTACTTCCGAAGCATTATTTGGGTGGTTGCCATTTTTATCGAGAGAGAGAGTATTATCTAATCTCAACAGAACAGATTGTCTTTCATTTCACTTACCAGTATCAACTAAGAAAACGCCATAGTTGTTGTGCAAGTCTGAACTGTCTGGACAATTCTTTATTCCAGCCTGGTACATTTCCTCAGCTTCCTTAAATCTCTCCTTCAAAAGAGAATAAAGAAAAGCAAATGAGGACGTTTAAAAAATTGACAGGACACTGAATAGTAAAAGTGAGAAAAGCAGAAAAGGATTTACTGAGCATCTGCTATGCAATAGGCGCCAAGATCAAACACTATGTCCTTGTCTGAATCAAAGACAATGCGAACTGCACATATATCTGCAATTCATATCTGTGTTTATTTCCTTTAGGGCAAACAGCTGATGTTTACTAAAAAGTGATATCTGCAAGGATTTATTTGCTCTATAGTTGGAAAAAGCCTCAAAATGGTTGTTTAAATAGATGCCCTCCACACAATAACTCTCAGGATGAAAATGTTTAGGAATATCTTCCCAGGTGGCACTCTGACTAGGTAACAGGAAGGCCCGGGATCTTTCTTTTCCAGCTGCGTCTGCCTTACTAACAAGCACACTGTAGGGCTTATTTGGAGGAGGTTTTGGGTGGAAGGAGGAAGGGAGGGTGATGCAAATTATGGAGGGCTTTGCCTTATCCTTTCTTTACTTGAAGTATTTCTATAGTCCACCAAAATCTTTGCCACTTCTCTTATCTAACCTGTGCTCTCTCTGTCTGAGCCATTCCCTCCAACAGGAACATATGTTCCTCAAAGGCACACCTCCAACTCCTACTGCTGTGGCGAGGCCCAGATCAACTGCCATATCTTCAAATAATCATTTTCTAATTGCTCTGATCTTCTACTCCTCTAAAGATTCACTTTAACACACTTTAATAATTCTGAGTTAGCTTTTAGGTATATTTTTTGCAACCATCTGAGATTGTTAGGTCACATAAACTTTACAATAGAGAACGTAACACCTAATTAATGAATAAAGCTACCCAGGTCCTAATAATTACTCACAAGTAAACAATTTCATAGTTACCTAGTACTGCTGTGAAGGTCAGGTGAAAGGAAATATTTTGGCATAAAGCATATCGCAACTTTTCCTTTAACATGCTCGGAGCATGGACAGTTTCCTAATTTTGTCACAAGTTAACAGTACTAAGCATTCAACCAGACAAATAAAAAGGGAGTGTACAGTATCACTTTTCTCAAATGTGACACCTTAAGCTTGTACTAAAATGTACTGAAGGTTGAGCAGTATGCCAAAAAGCTGACATCTGACTTATCCAGAAAGGTAAAGACACTTTACCCTCTGTAGCGTGACCAATGCCATCTCTCTGAATCTACATGTTCAAATACAATTTGCAGGGAAAAAGTGTGTTTTCAATTGGGCAAATTTCACTTACTTGAACTATAAATCCATAGTCCAGCAAAAATGGAGATCCATGTTTCTAAAAATATGCATTTTCTAATTGCCAAACTCAATAAATTGTCAAACTCAAAAAAGTTAAAGATGAAGGAAAATCTCAAACTATCTTTTCAATCTACTGAAGAGAAGAAAAAGTTTACGAAGATATCATCCACTGAAGGACTAGCAAATTTGCGAGTGTGTATGTGTGTGTTAAATGGAGATAGGCAGAACACAAATTATATCAAACTCTAACCAAATTCATAGTTAGAAAGGATCATTTTGTATTATGACCAATGTATTAAAGAGGTAAGTATGGAAGCTCTGAGCTCGGGTGGCCTAGAGTTGTTACTGCCGCCACATCAGGCATCATGACCCTGACGAAGGAGCACGTTTCAAGTTTCTCTCCTATCAAACCTCTTTAAGTAACTCAATATGAGAAATCATTAACTAACTTGAATGCTTTTTCTTTTAATTTTTCTTAATCACTTTCTGATACAGAGATCAATAAAAAATATCTTAGGGGCAACCAGAGAAAGAATACCCTGGCTAATCCAAAACTGGGTAATCAGTTCCTCAAAATCTTGAGTTGTAATGTTACCATCTGACCAGTGTCAATGTTTGACACTAATGCCAAATCTTTATTTTTATAGGATCAAATTTTCTAGTTTGCATGGCACTGTTAAAACACCCTAACATAGTCATGGCAAAATAAAATTAAAAACAAACAAACAATTATTAAAAATACAATGAGTAAGATTTTTAGCACAGGAAATAAAAGACTATTAGAGCTGGAAAGAACATTAATAGACACTAATTATCTTAGTTAACACATGAAGAAACTTGAATACCAATCGGTTAAGAGACTTGTCCAAGATCTCATAGGGACAAGGAGACAGAGAAGAACCTAGGTTTTCAGTTGACATACAGGGAACTAATAATCTTTGAATAAAAGTAGTATTTCTGGAAATAAACAAGGGTGTGTCTGGCATTAAAAGAAACAATTACACTTTTGGATATCCACTACCCATGTATCCATCCCCTCAACAAATATTTCATGAGCACTATCCATGTGCTAAATATATAGTTGAGACAGAAGAGTGAATGAGACAGACACAATCCTGCCCTCACAGACAATCAAATAGGATTCAGACAAGAACGAAACACTGCGATGTATGGTGACAGTATCATGGGAGGAGAAGTACAAGGGACTTGAGAGGCAACCAGAAGTGACACCTAGAATTGGGGTTGGATAGATACTCTACACTTATCATGATCCAAATGCCTAAGGAGGCTGGTTACCATTAACTCCGGTAGCTGTGTAACATACAGATGTGCTTGAAAAAAATCTGTAGCTACTTGAGATCTTAAAAACATCTTGATAATTGAACTGTGGGAGAGCTGAAAGGAATAAAATTGATGTCTTCACATTCTAACTTCCCGAAGTCAAATAACAACAGTTAACAACAGTTTTCAAGCGCAATTACTGTTCTGCCTGATTTAATTTTATTTTTCTCCCATTTTCTTGCTACTCCAAAATAGGCAAAGAGATCATCTTTTTCATCTAAAAGTTCTCTTATTTTTGGCTTTATGAGCTGGATTTCCATTAGAAATTCAATTCGCAAAGTCCAAAGAAGTAATGGGATTTAAGAGACCATGCGTGTTAGGAGCAAATAATCATATCCCTGTAACCTTGGTAACCCCCAAGGGCAGTCTCAAGATTCTGGCTCTATGAAAAATGTCTTCAATATCTGTCTTTCTCTTGCTTTCACCTGACTGTAAATTTCAAGAAATGATTAACTCCATTTATTAAAAAATGAAAGGGAACCACTACTGCAGGAGAAAAATACCTTCTAGGTATTTATTTAAAATAAATTCCACCTTCCCTGGAAGGGCAATGCATTTATCTTAAAAAGTAGTAGTAGTTAATCCCCAAAGCTCAATTTCATGCACACACTTTCCTTGACCTCTTCTGGTTGGATGTTCTGAGTTAAGCCTGACCATTCCTAGTCTCTACTGATTTGTGAGATCTGGGAGAAATAAACAATAGCTATTTACAAAACAACTTTAATTAAAAATATGTGGAATTCAGAGAATGGTTCTGATAAAAAAATATCGTCTGCTGTACATCAGAGTCCTCAATCAACCACTGCCTCAGCATGAAATTGGCCTTTGAGGGCAGTGGTTAAAAATGGGCAGCATGAAGCCACGGGCTCCTTTCCAAGGCTCAAAAGCATTTTCAGCAGGTCAGAAATAAAATATAGTCAATGTCCCCAATTTTTACATGCTGTATTTACACATGATATGCTTTTTAACTCAAGAAAAGGAAAGTAAAAAGCAGATCTTCTAAAAAAGGAACCCCGACTGTAATTTACTCTCTTGCATCAACTGATATGTTTGGAAACATTTCTTTATAGTTCAAGTTGCAGCAACTAGGAGGACAAACAGACATAAGCTCAATGTAGCAATCCTCAAACTTTTTCGTTGTAGGGGTCTTTTGTACTCTAAAAATTACTGAAGGTCTCCAAGAGCTTTGTTTATGTGGGCTTTATCTGTAAGTGTTTACCACAATAGAAATGAAGCTGAGCAACTTTTACAGTATTTATTAGTTTATTTTAAATGATAATAAATTCAAACATAATACATTTATATGAAAAATAACTATATTCTCTAAAGCACAAAAAATTAGAATAGCGGCATTATTTTATATTTTGCAAATTTCTTTCATGCCTGGCTTACTACAAGATGGCTGGATTCTCATATCTACTTTTGTGCTCGAATCTGTTTTTATATGTTTTTTAGTTAGAGTATATGAAAAAAATCTGGCCTCACACAGATATTTAGTTGGAAAATAGGAGAATACTTTAATAGCCATTTCATAATTGTGGATACATCATGTAGCCTCTACAAAACTACGGTATGCTCATGAGAAAATGAGAATGAAAAAGGCAAATTACTTGTTAGTACTATTACGAAGACCTTCTTGGACCTCAGGGATACCCAGTCAATGCTTTGTGAACGGCTGGCTTAATGAGCCGTCGGTAACAATATGTCCTTACTGTATAGAAGGTATAGGGCGTGGTACTGCAAAGTGGTTAAGGACCTATAGAGAGGGGAATGGAAAGTTATCCTCGAGCCCTGACACTCTCATGTGTCTGAACTGCTTTTTGGAAGTGCTTTCACTCTAGTCAATGATGTAAGCACACAGAGTGATAAAGTATTTCCTCATCAACCAAATGACTTTATTTTGTTCATTTATTTCTATTTGGTGACCCAAAGGTGCCTAAAATCCAGATCTTCTGAGAACAAATCCCAGAGTACTTACTAGAAACCATATAGCACTGGTTACTCATTAGCATATGGAGGAAAAGCACTGGGAAGTATTTGCTGCAGTTTTGCTGTATACCCTATCAGGTGTTGCTCAAATCTTAGAGAGATCTGAATGCTTGAAAAGAGAATAGAAATATAGTACCTACAAAATTAAATGTGGGAAAGATTACGCTAAAGATCCTCTCTCTTTTAGAAAAACACTTAACTTTATTATGACTGATAGATGATTTTATTCACTGTTACAAACCTACAAACCTGGGAAGCTTAGTACTGATGGATGTGCTTAAACTCATTTCAATGACTTTTCTGAAAAACTCTTCAAGACACAGCCGCTCAAAACACAAAGCAGAGACGTCTGCTTTCTCACTCTCCTTTGTCTTTACTTGTGGTTTTTTTTTTTTACGAAA